AAACAAGCCGCGAAATCCAAAGTCGCCAGTACAAGCGCAGACACTGGCGAAGACGCCGGAGCCGACCAGGGCAAAGGCACTATCAAGGATCGCATTTTGTCCTTTGTCGAGCAGGTCGAGAGCCAGGAAGTGCTGGGCGAGGAGTGGGAAGTGGTTGGATTCGTGGAACCGGGCGCGTTTAAAGCCCTGGGAGAGTTTATTGCCGCCGAAATGAAGGGAAGAGGCAGGCTGGAAGTGCTGGATATGGCTGTCACCCATACAGACGATTGAGGAAAATGGGTACAGGATAACAGCAGAATGGATGAGGAGGTGATTCAAGTCGATCCCTCTTGCACGAAGGCGATACAGGCCAGACCGACGACGACGTTACTCGATATGCTGCCCTGGATCCTAGGACGAGACAGGTGTCTGACAACACAACGCGTGACTTAAGGTCAGAAACGAACGACATTCAATTGGGATGACACGGATACGAAACATGCCATCATCCCGGCCGTCCATCAGGAACCCGTCACATCCAGGTCCAGACAACTTTAGCATCAATTGCAGCACAACAAGTCCCTTTCTTACGGGCTTCTCCATCAGGTATCAACGAGATACGGACTTACGAAACAACTTCAGACGCCACCCATCGGGAAGACCTCTCTGGGTAAGGAGGTAGAGGGAATTCCGTCTTCATCATAAGTTTTATCCACCCTTGGATCTCTCCTCACGCATGGTCCACAGATGCAAACGTGAGTGTCCTTATACATCACGAGGCTGCGCACGCGGCCAGGATGCGATGGCACCTCCAGCACGTTCTGGGTATACAAGTACAAGTGATGCCACCTCTCACCCTAGGCCTTGGTAGGCGGACTAAGACAGAGAGGGACAGTCCCGGTATCTAGATAAGGATAAGGGAGGGCGGGAAATCGGGAGAAAGATAGTGTACAAGCAAAAGTGAATAGATGGGTCACCTGCAATCACAACCCATCAGTCCAAACAGCATCCTCTAGAGAATTCTATAGGTACCGCATTTGACAGGAACTTTTGTTTTCCAAGTAGTATTGTGATAGGTCACGAGATTTGGCGGTCACGAGTAAGGTGTCGCCTTAGGAACCTTGAGTTGAAGCACCTCCGGCTGCGCATTTTATCCATCATTTATCCAGCGAGTATTTATCCTCACATCCACCCAGGCAGCCAGGCAGCCATTCAGCGGCTGAGTTTCCTGTCCTCTCACGTGCATGCCCTCCCGTGCCTCCTACATATGTACTGTTCGGGACACCCAGAATCCAGCGCCTCGTCGACGATTCAAGTAAACGATCCACGAGAGAAACAGAGTGCTGAATGTACAAAGTACTCGTACGACAAAGTGGCCAACTTTCCATGTTCTTGGATGATGTGAGGGCCACCAATGGATGTGATTCGTGATTCAGGGCGAGAGCCCACTGCTACTGTTACCCAAGCTGACTTCCGACCTGCCAATTCCCTGCAGTGCAACGGAGACGATGTGCATTCACAGTCCTTCCGCCCGATCCGACGATGCATTGGGGTTGTTGTCGTCAGAGGGTCACGCCTCCAAACCGTCGTGTGATCAAGTCTATATCCAGTCCTTGTCCGTCGATGATGATGATGATGTTGTCGTTTTCTCTGAAAATAGGAGACCCTTTGAGGAGGAAGAATAAATGAAATGTAGAAGTAATAAATCCCGCTGTGCCATGCAGAAGTTCCGGGCCAAAACACCAACAAAAGCCATACACATGCTCAGCTCTATATCCCAATCCATACGAGTAGTGATGCACGGTGCTCAGAAATTCGTCAACGTTGATTGCTCGTAGCCGAAAATTGCCGCCATTCTCATGTAATTTCCCTCACGTTGGTTTGGAGAAACCAGAAGGATCTGCGGTCAAGCAGTAATTGTACATTTTGATGTTGTCCCATTCCAATTTCCTTGTTTGTCTCGCAACCATTTGGATCGTGTAAAGTTGAGCGTCATCGTAAGTCATCATTTGGTCCATCTTATATCAAGGTGTGCCAATGGATTTTGGTTATCATAAAGCGACTCCGATGCCTCTTTCGCCGAAATCCCTCTGTTTCAATGTCGCTCTCGTCATAGCTTGCTCGAGCTCCTCCGCGGTGAATGGCGTGTCGTGCCTGGTAGCCTGCTTGGATAGATCTGCCAATTCAGGCATGTGAATACCGCTGTCGTGCTGAGCGAGCTTGTTGTTTGGTTCAGTGGGTGCCGAGGGCACTGCCGTGGCTTGATCTGAAAGGGATGCTATTAGAAGGTCAGTAAAGTTAAGGAGTTTGACAACCGACCGACAGGATCTATGAGAAACTTACTGCTCGCGGTATCCGCATCAAATGCCATACTGGCACTGGTACTCTTCTGCCTGCTCGTGCTGTTCGAAGAACTGCTACTCCCTTCTGAATCCACGCCACTCGCATTTCTCAAGGCCGACCCATGGAGTTCCTGTATCGATGGTCTCCGACTCGCTACCCTACTGTGAGCTCTACTGGCTGCGGCGCTCTGTGAGTTGGTCCCCCCCGGAGAGAATGTACCAGAGAGGGCGAGTGAGGTTCGTCTCCGGGCGGATGAGAAAGCGTCGGCAAGCGAGAAAGCCTGCAGAGAGGCTTGGTGTTCGGGATCGACCTTGCCCCGATATTTGGACTTCGGGATCTCGTTGGGCTTATAGTATTGAATATCCTTCCGGCTTGTGTAATATGGTTCCCCATTGGGCCCAGTCTCACTTCCCGTGCTATTCTTCTTGGACGTAAAAGTCCTCCGTAGTCTTACGCGTAGACCCATTGTGCGTATGCGATGTGAGGGAGAAAAGAGGTTCTGGTCGAGTGGGCGCTGACAGTGTATCGGACACTGACCCTTGGTCGATAACAGATAAGCCCTTTTCACGAAAACGCGAGGTCGGCTGTGGTCGATGTTGTAACGGGGAAATAGAGGAGTGGGATGGGCCGCAATGGACCAAGAGACTTCATATGGTTGCCATCAGGTTGGATTTGAGAGATGTGGAACGGCTGGTGGCCAGAGGCATATCAGACGCAGTCAGGAGAGCATGGGGGCCCGTGGGTAGGAGTGACGAGACGGTGGGCATAACTGTTGTGCTGGGAATCTGGCACAGGGTGGAGGAGAGGAGCCGGAGGAGGATGGAGATAGCCGTGGGCACTGGTCGACCATGGTGGCATGCTAGGATAAGATGTGCCCGTGCTCTGTGCCCTGCCTTTCCCAATGTAGCGGGAGCAAGTACCCACTCTCTGCGCCATGGTCGGCGGAATCTATCGCAGGTCTGAGCATGGGCAATGGGTGCATAGCGTACTTGGGGAGGTAGTGTACGAGTAGCATATCGCGAAACCCGAGAGGCGAGGCATAAAAATGGAGCAGGTCGACTGTGAAGAAGGTCAGCGAGCGACTAGACTGCCAGAACTGCCCAACGGTAGCCAAGGGTGGCAGAATCCGATGATTCCGCCGATAGGCCTTCCATGGGTGTGGGTTCTGTATGGATCTGTCAGTGGTCGAGGCGCAGGTTGGGCGAATCGCTCCGTGGTGAGATGTGGTCCCAATCCTACCTCAACTACTCCGTAAACTGCCTATTTTCTGGGGACAGGACGAGTTTGTACAAGTGTGATGCCATGAAGCTGGTAGGAGTTGCCGCTGGTCCTCCTGCAATGCAACGTGCTGGTTTCCCCGGTATATCAAATTGGCCGCTCGTGCCGCCATAAGCAAGATTTCTTGGTAGTAGTACACCTACCAGAACAAGCATATCCAAGTAGGAGGATTCGTTGCATGGCGATCCAAGTAGGCGATGCGACCTTCTAGAAACATTCTTGTTCCGGCTCTTGTTCTGGCGCGGGCGGTTTTTGCTGGATGTGGTTGGGTGGCGACTGGCCGCCCCTTGCATTGGTCGCAGGCAAGCCTGGACCCTGCGAGACCTTTAGCCTAGGAGCCCTATCAATTCCACCTATAACACCCCGAAAAGTCGACTCCCAATGCACCTGTAGCGTGGCTCCCTTTCACAGCGTGCTCCCTCTAGTCCTCTAGCGATTGTGGTCCTCACCCGACGTGCATGAGCGACTTGTTTCTGCTGATAAGGATTGTGTCGGACCAGGTTTCTTCAGAAGAAGATCAAGTTCTCCTTCGCATCACTCCACGGGCCAGAAACGTCTTGCCCGTCCAACCTCTGACCAGAACTTAGAGCCATCTTCGCCACCAATTGAGTACCACAACGGCAATATCTCGCTCGACGCAGTCTCACGTGACCACTCCTGTCCTTTGCCCAGATTTGGGGAAATGACGCGTATTACATGTCAACGGGGCGATCATCACTGCTGTTAATAATTTGACCCTGACAACTCATCATCAAATTGTCACAGTCCGGTCGGACGAGTTTGAAGCGCCGTCGTCTCGGATAGTAACCCTCAAAATGGCCGATGTTGTGCATTAATGTCCACTCGCCCCAGGCTGCCAGGTTCTTCATCGCAGCATGATTGGTCGATCTTTCGAGATCTTAGTTGCTCGAAAATGACCTTTTTCGGTTTATTGGTTTCTTTGGCTTCTGCTGGTGCTGTTGTGTTCCAAGCATGACTTCATCGGTGTCCAGACTGGGCACATTCAGGGACTGGCCACAGCTGAGCTGCTCAGGCTGCTCTACCTACTACGTCTAGTGTTTTCATCCACCCCGCTTCAACTGGGCAGCTGGCAGTGGCTAGGGTGACCATCGGCCAATGAACAACTCTGTGTCTGCCGTCTGTGGCTTGAAAAATGTCCGTGAATTACCAAGGTTGGAGGTTTGACGATCTGGTGTCATGGGGTGACGGTTTGAGTTTCTGAGGTTATGACGCAAACCATCAACCATGGCGCAGGGAGCATTGACGGGCGCAGCCAGCATTCAGCATCACCTCCCTTCTCCTCGTTTGACACCGCCGTAGTCTCCTTCTATTTGTGGTTGACGATTTTCTCTGTACTTGATCTGAACTATTTCGACAGAATCTAACAATTTCGAACCTCAATGGACAAGTTAAAGACCATGATGTACGTCCCATAACCCCCCAGGCTCCCTCTCCGCCAAATACGTGCTCAAGGCAAAGTAGGGACAAAGGAAATGTCGAGGACAAGACAGGACCAAGTAGTCGATTGACAGGACAAGGGTCTCATTTCCCCAAGAACGAAGAGCAGCCTGTGGGTGCCGCAACTGGTGTCCAGGAAAACACAACCGCGGGAGATACTCGAGGTGCGTTCATCCCTGGCCTAAACCACGTCCTTTGCATCGCGCCCATTGACATATCTAACCCATTATCAGGCACAGATATACAACAGGCTCGTGAAGGCGGCCTGGCTAGTCAATTGCCTGGCCGTGGCCCTGGTACAGCTGCCATTGGCGAAACCTCGACATATAGTTCCCATACACTGCGTACAGGCGATCCTGTTCCAAATGTCGTTGACTTCAGATCCGAGGACCCCGCCACGTATCGGGCACCCGAACACTCCTATGTGTCCAGCAGGGGCATACCTGAGGGTGGTCCCTTGGCCGCCGCAGCCCACGCATTTCACAAGGACAAGGATTATAGTAGTATGGCTCCATGACAAGATCCAGGTGGTAGGCTCCATACACTGACATCCCCAGCTTCTCACCTCCCTGGAGCATTTCCCAGTGACACAACAGCCCACGACGCTACCACAATCGCGCCTTCTACCTTGACGACGACAACATCACCAGCCGAGCGATCAGCGGTTTACGGTGAGGCCGAGAAGACTAAAGTGCCTGACGCAGCTGCCGCAGCCCAGTTCGCAACAAGAGCTGCCCCTGGAACCCAAGAGCCAGCCTCAGAAGAGCCCAGGAGCTCTGGAACGATTGGCAAGATCCTTGGTGCAGTGGGTTTAGGGACTGCCGCAAGTGGTGCTATGGTGGCTACCTCGAGGGCTGAGGAAGATCAACAGCACGCCGTAGCAGACACTCCTAATCAACCTACGACTACCACTGGCGTCGAATCCTACACCTCCCCAAGTCGCTCAGGGCCTCCATCGTCACATCACAGAAAAGAGAGTATTCCCACCACAGCCTACCCAGCGGGTGTGGATTCTCCTGCGCCGATCAATCCGCCGATCGGGGGCATCTCCGCAACTTCAGACCAGGAGGAAAAGGACCATGCAGCTCGCAATACGGGACTGGCCGCTGGAGCGGCAGGCGTTGGGGCTGGCGTAGCGGCGGCGGGCGTTTATTCTATGCGAGGTCGAGAGCAAAACACAGCCGAGACCGACTGGCCTCTTCGAAATGACACCACGGCTGCGACGCCCGCAACGGCAACGGTTCCCACATCAGAGGGCGCTATCAAGACAACACCGGCAGGTCAAACCGCCCGACAACCGCATACCGCGTATGAGGCTGCACCTGCTACGACTGAAACATCCATCGTATCAGAATACAAGCAACCTCAAGAAAGACCAGAGGCGCAAACCAAGAAGGACAAAGCCAACCAGGAGGCTACCCGTGCTGGGCCAACAAGTGCCGAGGGTGGAGCATCCAGAACATCCGAATACTCTGAAGGGCAGGATACGGTCTCAGGGGAAACAGAATCACGGAGACACAAAAAGGAAAAGGAAGCTGCACTTGCTGGAGTTGCAGGTGCTGGAGCTGGGGCTGGGGCTGCTGGGTTGTATGAGCATAATAAGCGGCAAGACAGACTGGAGGAAGACACTCAGAGGCAGAAAGATTTAGCGGAACAAGAGGCTGCCCGCCAGAAGCAATTCGAAAAGGATCAGAAGGCAGCTGAAAAGCAAGCCAAGAAGGAAGAGAAGCAACATCAAAAGGAGATTAAAAAAGAAGAAAAGCAGCACCAGAAAGAGCAGGAGAAGCAGGAGAAGCATCACCAGAAAGAAGTTGACAAGGAAACCGCCGCTAGGGAAAAGGCTGCGGAGAAGGAAGAAAGACACCGGCGCGAGGAACTCGAGCGCGATCAAAAGGAGCGCGAGAAAGCCACAGCTGCTGCTGCCGCCGGAGCTGGTGCAGGTGCAGCAACCGGCGCTGGTGCATATGAAGTGCATGACAAAGACCGACATCCGCCTCCCACAACGGTGACCGACGAATCGGGTCGGACGAAACTCCACAAAGAGCCAGAGGAGAAGAAGCCGGGTCTTTTGAAACGAATCTTCAAGCGTCGCAAGAACAAGGATACTGGCGAAGAAGAAGAATACGAGGACCACGACTATGATGAGCCCGAGGCTGAGCATGGTGACCATCATATTGCCGAAGCTGGAGTCGTTGGGGGCACAGGTGCTGCCGTCGCCGGGACTGCTGCTGCTTCTTCTCATGAGCCACCCACAAGTTCATACGAGGTACAGAGTGGTGGTCTTCAGAAGCCATCGTACAATCCCTTCTCCAAGGACGATCCAGCACATGAGCACCCAACAACGTCCAGTGCCCACTAGGAATGGCGCCCCAGAAAAACAACGTCCCCCTACAGCTTCCTGAGACTGAGCGAGCTACAATTCAATTCACACCCTTGATTCTCTCCGCAGCCCTTCCAGCCTCGCAACCCACTTCGCCACGAGATGAACATATCACCCACAACCATTCGGCAGAATTCGCGGCGCAACATATATGTGCCAGTGGTGGAACAAGACCCTGGGCTAAAACATGTGCATCATCGATGTGGTGAAACCCGTGACAGTGCAGAAAGAAGTTGACCAGAGTGCGGAACAAGCATCAGCATCATCACTGACAGAGGCAGGCCGGCGCAAGGGCTGGAACCGCGTGTGGTTGTGGGTTGTGGACACCATACACGGTACTTTTTAGGTGGTAGTGTAGGACGCCATGTACCGCCATGTTGCATGGAAGGCTGTGGTCAAGAAAGATCGTGATATCATCCATCCCTTTATGTCTCCAATTTAATCCTCTCTCTATGAATCTGACTTACATAGTACATATGCCTGCATGCAAGCAATAATACATCATCTATTTGACCAAACACAATAAATACCCAATCACTACCTAATTACCTAATTACCTAGATAGCTATGTAGGTAGGGGTAGATGAAATCACGGGATGAATACAATGATTTTCTCTCCTCTGCTAGGTAGGTAATGTAGCGTTCGTTATCCTATCCTATCCTACTGATAAAAATTGGGCATTTTTTCCGCCCGAAGAAATATGTAAGTCACCATCAGCACCAATTTGTCTTTCTTTCTAGCTGATCGATCCATCGGTCGAACCCGCCGCGGCCGGCCCGTTTGCCGCTTGCGCTGTGGTGCCGGTTCTTCTGTTGTTCTTCTCTGCCCCTTTCTTTGTTCGTTGCTCTAGCTGTCGGTTGCATCGCGATTCGTGTATGGATTGCAAGGCATGGCATGGCAGCGGCAGTGTCGTGTGATGTGATGTATATACAATACAATGCAATAAAGGCAATTTCCTTCTTTCGCAGCTCCCGCTCACCCCTGGTTCTCTGAATCTCTGATTCTTCGCTGCTCTCTTCATCTTGTGGAGAGGAGTCGGGCAGTCGCTGCCGTGCGTCGCATGACAACAGGGGCCAGAGACTTGGGTTGTGATAGCAAACATCAAGACTGTTGCAGGAGCAAGAAAACACATGGACGCTCGATGATTGCAATACGTTCGTTTGTCGTTCCCCGACTCTCTGGCTGACAATCCACTCCTCAAAACCCAATCACTGAAAAGCTCCTGGCGCGACGAAAATGCTGTCCCCAAGCTTCTCTCCTGCTATCGAGATAGGCGACGCGACTTTCGTCCTTGGCTCGGAGAAACCGTCGCTCAAAATGCATCCTAGCAACCAAAGATGTCGTGGAACCTCGCAGGCAGCCATGGCCAACCGTCGGCCGACGCACGTGCGTTTGCGCTATTGTAACCTTCTAGCCTGACTCCTAGCAAGAATCGTCCCAGTCCTGGTTGCCCTAACCCTTTTTGGTGTACAGTCTCGCTGCAATGTTCATGCTCCACAATTCCTGGAACAACAGCTTCGCTGCATACGGCAGGTAGATCTGACTGATACGGTTCTTGTTATTACAGTTCTTGCACTCAAAAGTATTCTTCTTGAGTTTCGCAATCACCGTCATCAATCCGCAAATATCACAAATGTGCACGCGGAAAGGATCCGATACGTCGAAAAGACGTTCTTTGAGGAATGACGAGGCACCATGCGCGATCATGCAGTCGCGTTCCATTTCACCGAAACGGAGACCACCGTCGCGAGCACGACCTTCGACAGGCTGTCGGGTCAAGATTTGAGTGGGACCCCGTGCCCGGGAATGGATCTTGTCGTCGACCATATGTCTGAGACGTTGGTAATACGTAGGGCCGAGGAAGACTTGTGCGACAAGTTTCCGTCCAGTGTGCCCGTTGTACATGACTTCAAAGCCTCGAGACTGGTAGCCCATTCTCCTCAACAACTCGGAAATCTGCGTCACCGTGACCTTTGTGAAAGGGGTGGCGTCACCTTCGTCACCCCGAAGTGTCGCTACCTTTGAGAGTTGACATTCGATCAAGTGAGCAATGGTCATTCGGGAGGGAATGGCGTGCGGGTTGATGATGAGATCGGGTACAATGCCTTCTCGTGTAAAGGGCATATCCTCATGACGGTATGTAATACCAATGGTACCCTTCTGACCGTGACGAGATGCGAATTTATCACCAATCTGAGGCACTTTCGTAGTTCTTACCCTGACCTTGGCAAACCGATGACCCTCGTTGGTTGTCGTCAGCAGAACCTGGTCAACAATACCAGACTCTGTAGACCTCAGGGGTGTCGATACGTCGCGCTTGATGTGCTGTTTCTGTCTCTGGCCGAGTTCTTCCGCATCTGGTGCCATAGGCGCAGTTTTGCCCATAATGATGTCCTCGCCACTCACGCGGACACCAGGAGCAACAATGCCGTCTTCGTCAATCTTGTCATAGGTACCGTGCTTGAGTCGGAGAGTGTCCGATCTTGTGGGCTTCTCAAACTGCTCTACCACGGAGTGGCCGACTATCTTCTCTGAGTCTTGGTAGGTACGATAGAACAGCGAACGGAAAAGTCCACGGTCGATGGAGCTCTGATTCATGATGACGGAATCTTCTTGGTTATAGCCTGAGTAGGTCGCAATAGCCACAATCGCATTCTGCCCGGCAGGGAGCTCTCGGAATTTCAGATAATCCATAGCCATCGTTCTGGCAAGAGGTTTCTGAGGGTAGTAGAGGATGTTGGCCATGGTCTCCATCCGTTGGTCGAAGTTGGTGAGGAAGACGCCCATAGCCTGCTTACCCATGGCAGACTGATAGGTGTTACGAGGCGATTGGTTGTGGTCAGGGAAGGGGATGATACTGGCGCAAACTCCCAAGATCATACTTGGATGAATTTCGCAATGAGTGAAGGTGTGGGAGAACGGGTTTAGGAGAGGGTCGTTTCTCCGCAAAGGGTCGTCTTCGGCCTCTATCTCCATACCCATCCATCTTGCTTTGGAGTCGGCCAGGGCCTCAGGTGTCATGATGATCATCGCCGTCTCTTCTTCCTCAGCATCAAGGTATTCAACAACGCCTGATTCGAGGAGATTGTTCCAACCGTATGGTCGGATTTCGTCTGTGAACTGGAAGCCGCTTTCCTTCAGATAAGCAGTCTGATCAAGCTTGTTGATGTGTTCCTTGTTCAGCACCAAGTTGCCACGGTTCTCTGAGGCTGGGTCGGTCTCAACCACAAACAGGGGGCGGACAATTCTTCCCGAGTCACCGTTGACTTTGAATTCTTTCTCTCGAATGTCCCAAACCAAACTCACCTGAGCATCGAAGACGCCCTTTCTCCGAAGCTTGCGCAGGTCATCCACCAGGCGTTTCGGATCCCGTAGGACTACCGCAAACCACACACCGTCGACGAAGACTTTCGTTGCTTGAGGATTCAATCGAGGTTCCCAGTCTTCCAATGCTTCGACATGCTTAGTGAGGATATAATTTACCAGTGGAGCAGTCTCATAAGTATTTGTAACCATCGACATGAGCGACAGGTTCTTGACCAGACCACAAGCCTGACCCTCGGGCGTCTCAGCTGGGCAGACATAACCCCAATGAGTGTTGTGGAGTTGACGGGGCTTAGCAATTTTACCTTCTCGACCGATCGGAGCATTGGTGCGGCGAAGATGTGACAAGGTAGAGGCAAAAGTGTACCGACTGAGCACTTGAGAAACACCAGCTTTCGCTTTGTCCAGCTTCTTTTGGTCTCCCCAATTGCCAGTGGCCAAAGAATATTTCAGGCCGCTGGTGATAATAGGATGCTTGAAGCCTGCCATGATATTGATGGGCTGGCCCGCTTCTACGCGCTTCTGCATATAGCGGTAGAAGTCTTTGGTAGCTTTGTCAAACTGAAGCCGGAAGAGGTTGGTCATCAATGGTCCCGCAAGATCAAGTCGCTTTTTCCCTAGATGATCCCGATCGTCCGGCTCTGCGCGACCGAGAGCGCATTTCAGCAATCGATTGACCATGTAGCCGAGAAAGAAAGCTTTTCTAGCAGTAGCATCTGGACTTTGTCCAATATGAGGTAGAAACTCCTTCTGCAAGATGTCTGTGGCATGCTTCTGCCGTTCATGGCTTTTCAGAGTCGGAATGTTACCTCGGCGTGCAATAAAGTCTCGAGCCAGATCCGCGCCCTGAATGGCCTGGCCTTCCTGGAGTGAGCCCATCAACATATCCATCATCTCTTTATCACTCTGGTCGAAGCAGATCTTCTCCAGGATATCGGCGTCTGAGACAATGTCCAACGCTCGAAAGACAATAACGAGAGGAATATCCTGTTTGACGTATGGTAGCTGAACTCGAATCGGGTTGTCGATCTTAGTGCCGTCCGGACCATCGACTCTACGGAAGAGTTTGACGGTGCACTGCGACATCATGCGGGCGCCGCGATCGATGACGGATCTGATCTCTGCGAGATGTGTAAAGGGCGAGGGCGCTGCCTTTTGGAAGACCTGGACGATGTTTCCGGCACTTCGTTCTTGAGCAATGAGCACTTTCTCGCTACCGTTGATGATAAAATAGCCTCCCTGGTCATATGGACATTCTCCCCAGGCGAAAAGATCTCGCTCGCTTTGAAACTTTTCGCTCACCAAGTGGCAGGTCATGCTTCTCACCATGATGGGTATCTTTCCTATGTATACCTCTTTATCATTGTCGAAGTCATCTTCATCATCACCCTCTCTCCAGTAAAGTTCGGTGCCGTCTTCTCTCATGACGCCAGAGTCTTTGTCATATTCGTCCCAAGGACGCTCCTTTGCGTAGTATGTTCTTCGCGTCATCTTGACATAGACTGGACTTGCGTATGTTAAACTCCGCATTCGTGCTTCGTGGGGCATGCAGTCTGTTGTAGTGCCATCCGGCTCGACCTGATTCGGCTTGCTGAGCGTAACCTTGCCAAACTTGACCTCATGTCTCTTGATGACGATTGGATTTGGGTCATTT